GAGACAAAGTTTTCCAAGATGAGGAATAAAACAATGATGCCTGCTTTCATAATACTGGAAATTTTAGCCAGAGCTATTAAGAAAAAAAGGAAAAAGGAAAGGCATCCAAATTGGAAAGGAAGAAGCAAAGTTTTCTCTGTTAACAAATGACATGATCTTCTTTGTAGAAAATCCCGAAGACTGCCAAAATAAACTGTTAGAACTAATAATCTGTCCAAGTTTCAGGATTATGAAATCCACATACAAAAGTGAGTTACATTTCTACACACTAACAGTCAACAATCCAAGAAGGAAATTAAGAAAACATTTCCTGCTGGCTTGGTTGTGGATGTCTATAGTCTCAGCTACTTGGGAGGCTGAGGCAGGAGGATAGCTTGAGCCTGGGAGGTTAATGCTGTCAGTTTTTATAACGATTATGCCTGTGAATAGCCACTGTACTCCAGCCTAGGCAACAAAGTGAGACACTATTAAAAAAAAAAAAAAGTCAGTTTACAATAGCATCAAAAAAATAAATAAAATAAAATAGGAATAAGCTTGACCAGGAGGCAAAGACTTTAGCAGAATTTAAAGTTCCAGAGACTGGTTGTGTAACAAATGTAAAGTCATCTCATATTTATAGATTATAAGGCTTAGTTTCATTAAGATGTCAGTATGACTCAAAGTGATCTACAGGTTTAGTGTAATTGCTCTCAAAATCTCAGTGACATTTTTCTTCAATTATAGAAAAATCCATCCTTACAAATTGTGTAAAGTTTATATGTAATTTCAAGGGACCCCAAATTACCAAAGAAATCTTGAAAAAGAATAACAAAGTTGGAAGGCTTTTACTTCCGAATTTCAAAATGTATTATTAAATGCTACAGTGGTCAAAAGTGTGGTGTGGCAGTAAAGACATACAGAGAGACCAGTAGAATGGAATGCAGAGTGCAGAAGGAAACCCTTACACATATGGTCAAATGAGTTCAAAAAGGATGCCAAGACTTTTCAATCAGGGAAGGGACAGTCTTTCAACAAATGGTGTGGGAAAACTAGATATTCACAGGCAAAAGAAGTTAAACCCTTATCTTATATCATGTTAAAAAAAAAAAAAAAAAAAAAGAAGAAGAAAGAAAAGAAAACTTCAATAATGAATCAAAGACCAAAGTGTAAGATCTAAAATTATACATCTCTTGTTTTTTTGAGACAGAGTCTCACTCTGTCGCCCAGGCTGGGGTGCAGTGGCGTGATCTCAGCTCACTGCAACCTCCAGCTCCTGGGTTCAAGCAACTCTCTGACTCAACCTGCCAAGTAGCTGGGATTACAGGCACCCACCACCACGCCTAGCTCAATTTTGTATTTTTAGTAGAGACAGGGCATCTTGGCCAGGCTGGTCTTGAACTCCTGACCTTGTGATTCATCCACTTTGGCTCCCAACGTGCAGGGATTATAGGCGTGAGCCACCATTCCAAGCCAACAACTCTTAAAACATAGAAGGAGAGCTTCCTTCAGCGGTGATTTCTTGGATATGACACCAAAGGCCCAAACAACAAAAGGAAAAGTAGACAAATTGGATCGCGTTGAAGGATACTATTAACAGAGTGAAAAGGCGGCCTACAGAATGACAGGACAGAGGTGAAAATTACATGTGACAGAGTTCCCATCTAGAATACATAAAGCACTCTCACAATGCAACAACAAAAACCCAACTAATGCCGTTCAAAAAATGTGCAAAGGATGTGAATAGACAGTCCTCCAAATAAGAGATACAAATGGCCAATCAGCATATAAAAAGATGCTCACCATTACTAATTATTAGGGAAACAAATCAAAACCATGTGGAGATGCTGGGCATGGTGACTCACTCCTGTAATCCCAGCACTCTGAAAGGCCGAGGTGGGTGGATCACTTGAGGTCAGGAGTTTGAGACCAGCCTGGCTGATGTGGTAACACCACGCACATCTCTACTAAAAATAGAAAAATTAGCTGGGTGTGGTGGCACGTGCCTGAAGTCCCAGATGCTCAGGAGGTTGTGGCAGAAGAATTGCTTAAACCCAGGAGGTGGAGATTGGAGTGAGCCAAGATTGTACCACTGCACTCTAGCCTGGGTGACAGAGTGAGACTCCATCTCAAAAAAAGAAAAAGAAGAAAACCTACATGGAGAGGCCACCTGAGACTCATTAAGATGGCTGTAATCAATACAGAAAATAACAAGTGTTAGTGAGGATACTGAGAGTTTGGAACCCTTGTGTACTCTTACTGGGAGTTTAAAATGGAGCTGCAGCTATGGAAAACAGTATGGCAATCCATCAAAAAGTTAAAATAGGCCAGGCGAGGTGGTTCACATTTGCAATCCCAGCACTTTGCAAGGCCAGGGCAGGCGAATCACTTGAGGCCAGGAGTTCGAGACCATCCTGGCCAACATGGTGAAACCCCATCTCTACTAAAAACACAAACAATTAGTCAGGCGTGACAGTGCAAGCCTATAATCCCAGCTACTCGGGAGGCTGAGGGATAAGAATCGCTTGAACCTAGGAGGCAGAGGTTGCAGTCAGGCAAGATTGTACCACTGCATTCCAGCCTGGGTGATAGATCGAGACTATGTCTCAAAACAAAGGATTACCATATAATCCAGCATTTCCACTCCTGAGTGTGTACCCCCTACAATTCAAAGGGCCTCACACATTTATACACTGATGTTCATAACAGCGTTGTTGAGAGCAAATGCTGACATTTGCTGAGAAATCCTATTGAGAGCGACAGGCAAGGGAAAACTAGTCAGCCCCTCAAAGCGGCAAACTGCTCAAAGCACTATAAAAGAGTAACCAATATAAATATGTCTCACACCAGATGAATTCGTTCTTTGAACACAGGATATGTGACCCTTTCCTGTGTTCCCTCATAAAGAGCTCTTTCTAATTTGTTTTTAACCTATAGTAAACACACACTAGCTGCCTGGTTAGTTTACTGTTAACCAATGAAAGAACACAGAGCATCCACTTGTAAAACTTGTCACTGGAAAGTCAAGAATAAACACATAGGCCAGAGTTTGCTCTGGACTCTCAGCTGGAAATGCTGTGAGACCCCTGGTACTCCACTCTGAACCCACCTTTTGCTATCTCTGTGTCTGTTTCTTAATTCCTTCAGCGCCGCCTGGGTTGGGTCTCCACAGCTGAGCTGGTCTCAGCACAGCGTTATTCACATCAGCCAAAAGACACCAGCAACCCAAGTGCCCACTGACAGATAAACAAATGTGGTCTCTCCATACAATCAAACATTATTCAGCCTTAAAAAGGAAGGAAATTTTGACACATGCTAACACATGGATGAACTTTGAGGACATTACGCAAAATGAAATAAGCCAGTCGCAAAAAGAGAAATACTGTATGATTCCACTTATGTGAAGGACCTAGAGTAATCAGATTCACAGAGACAGAAACTAGAGTGGTGGCGGCCAGGAGCTGGGAGAGAGCCGTAATGGCTTATTCAGTGGGGATAGAGTTTCAGTTTGGCAGGATTTAGTGAGTTCCAGAGTTTGGCTGCACAAAAATATGAATGTACTTACACTGAAGTGTGTACTTTAAAATGGTTATGGTAAATTTTTTGTGTTTGACCACATTGAAAATTTTTGACACTGGAAATTATATTTATTGAGCACCTCCCTGCTGGGCATGATAATATGATTATGAACACCGTAGTTATAAAAAACACTCTTAGGGAGGTAAAATTCTAAGTGTATAAAATAGCACAGACAGACAACAATAGACACCCACAGGACTCAGATAGTAGGCTTATTAGACAGAGATTATAGATTTCAGCAGGGAACTAGAAATTATTAAAATTACTAATCACTAAATTTGTAGTTTAGTAATTAATTTAGCCAATCAGCTAATTTACTAATTACTAAAAATTACACACTGAAAAAGAACCAGAGTGGAGTAGAAAGAGATGGCAGAAAAGGCCACCTAAAGCCCATCTTTTAGACAGTTCTCTTAGCAGATGAGGGATAGAAGGGCACTCCTGGCCAGGTCATGCCTGTAGTCCCAGCTACTCAGGAGGCTGAGGCAGGGAAATCACTTGAACCCAGCAGGCAGAGGTTGCAGTGAGCTGATACTGCACCACTGCACTCCAGCCTGGGCAACAGAGTGAGACTCCATCTCCAAAAAATAAACAGCAGGGTGTGGTGGCTCATGCCTGTAACCCCAGCACTTTGGGAGGCCGAGGTGAGTGGATTGCTTGAGGTCAAGAGTTGGAGACCAGCCTGGCCATACCCATCTCTATTAAAAATACAAAAATTAGCTGAGCGTGGTGGCAGGCATCTGTAATCTCAGCTGCTCAGAAGGCTGAGGCAGAATTGCTTGATCCCGGGAGGCAGAGGTTGCAGTGAGCCACTGCATTCCAGCCTGGGCGACAGAACCAGACTCAATCTCAAAAAAAAGCCCATCTTTTAAGCAGTTCTCCTAGCTGATGAGGGATAGAAGAGCACTTCCTTACCCTGGTAGCTCTGAGTGTCCAGTCTGTGCCCTTCATCGCCACACTTGATGGGGAAAGAGTAGAGCAGCCTCCACTGCAAACTGTGCTGAAGAACCCACCCACACAGTGAGAGTTTCCTTTAGCCTGCACTTTAGGTTGGAAGCATCCCAAGCTCTCAAAGCATAGTGTGCTAAGGTTCCATCCTCCCCTTGGCTGGGAAGTATGTCTTGGTCTTCTGTCTCCAGGGTGCTGGTGGCAGAGCCTGACATGGAGTGAGCACTCCATAGATGCTTGTTCAATTTCCTAGGAACTCAGCAGGCTGGGCCTAACACCACTGCCTGCAAAGGCCTGGCAGGTGTAGGGACTATCGACCCATCCCTGCTGCTCTTACAGAAAGGGGAGAGGGAGTTGTGTGGGAGTGGATGGAGAGTTGTCCTTTTAATAAGGAGGGCCAGGGGCTGTAATAGGGGCCCCAGCATAATTTATCTCAGGAAACAGCAGGGGTCCCTCTCCTCTCGGGTCCATAGCCTGGCCTTCTCTCTTCTTTACAGTTTGAGATTTCATCTAAGCCAGCCCTAGGCTGCTAAATACTTCAAACTCTTCACCTTCTACTCTAATTCCAGCTCCTTAACAAGGGCAAGATTCTGGCTGGGACAGAATAACCAGCATGGAATGCTAAGAAACTCAGAACAGCATGTGTTACAAATGCAGGGAAGAAGAGCTATTTGCCATTGTGCTCAAAATACTTCTGAGGACATACAACTCTCCCACTGGTCTGGGTAATTTCCCCGCTTCCTCCACATCTCCACTGTAAACTGAGAGACAGCGCAGCCAGTGAGTCCCAGCCCTGCAGAAAGAGCTCTACCCAGCTCCTGTTCAAGCCCAAGGTATTTATTCACTTATTCAACAGCCATGTGGGAAGCCACTGATTCAGAACGCTAACTGTGCAGAGGGGGACAGGAAGCCAGGTCCTCAGCTCCCTGGTCCTAGCTTTCCTTGCCTGATCCAGGGATCTCCTGAGGCAGGAAGTTCTTTGAGGGGAACTGATAGCTCTTCAGAAGCCCAGGCAGAGAGCTGCTGTCTTTAGGGTAGACACACTGGGACTGAGTCCTTTGGAGGGCCTCTGTTTTGGTAGGTGCACCTGTGAACTCAGCCCCCAGGCTACAGCATTCAAAGTGTTTTTTTTTTGTTTGTTTTTGTTTTTTGTTTTTTTGTTTGTTTGTTTTACTTTCTTTTGGAACATAACCTTTTCCTTTGAGTTTTCAACTGAAAAAGCAGAATCCAAGAATGTGTCTCTGGATTGCTGGGGCTGATCATCCACTCAAGGAGATGGGGAGATGTGGGCAGCTATGGAATCTTCTCACTGATAGAGGGTGCCCTTGAGCATTATTTGGGCTGAGCCTTTGGTAGGCGATTGTAGGATCCAGATTCCAGAGCAAAGGGCCAGGTGTCAGCCACGGGGACTGAGGCAAGCTGAAGGCCAGACACCAGACTTGGCTGTCCCTGGCCTCCCCACCCATGAATCCCTGGTGCACAGCAGGTGCTAGATGAAGCTTGGAAGAAAGAACTCCAGGATAAATGGAAACAAGAAGGTTGGTCCTCCACATTCCCAAGCTGGAGGGAAGAGAAGGGAGGGTGGCTGGGATCTGAGTGTTTGCTATGGTTACAGCCCAAAGACCTAGAGCCCAGGCACTGCTCCTGGTGCCTTGAAAGATGTTTGATCTTAAGCCTTACAGTAGTCCAATGAGGAATAGATGATCTCCTTAATAAGGGAAGAAGCAAAGGCTCAGAGAGTTGAGGGGATTCCCCCAAGGTCATATAACCTACAAATGGCCAGGACGGTGCTGATGCGGGCCTGTCTGCCTCCCAATGCTGCTGAAGCTCAATCACCCCCCACCACTTCTGCTTTTGCAATAATAGCCTTATGCCACATATTCTACCAGTTACTTTATGAAAGAAAGTCAAGTAAACTTTGGCCATTTCCCAAGCCATAATAGGTAGCTCCTGTTCAAAACACCCTGTAAATCAGGTCATGCAAGATCAGATATGCACCTACAACTGTTACAGGTGCTGTGCTAGCCACTGTTTTGGGGAACTCGGCCTAGGAATATGAGTGAAGAGACAACTCACAAAGAAAAGCAAATCACTGGCATGCAGGGGGCCCTGAGAAATTCAGAGTCAGATGCAACCAGAGTGAGCAGCCACCTGAACCTGCTGGTTTCCCAATATGCTTAATGGATCCATGATGTGGGGTCCACAAAGGAAATGCGGAAGTCTTCCCTTCCTGCCTCCCACACTCTGTGGGTCAAGTATTTCCCAAAAACACAGCAGTGGACTGGACACCAGCAGAGATACAAAGAGGGAAAAACAGTTCTCCCTTCTCAAGGCAGGTTGGACAACATCAATATTTTGCAGTTAGGAGGTGCAGGTGGAGTCTGTGTGCATGCCCAGAATTTAAAGACAAACAAATGGGAGAGGGAATGATTCCAGCACAAAGACCAATAAATATTCACATCTACAATGTACACTGAACTGCAGCCTAGACATCATAGCAAGTCTCTGTCTCTATGAAAAATTTAAAAATTAGCCAGGCGTAGTGGCACATGTCTGTAGTGTCAGCTACCCAGGAGGCTGAGGCAGGAGGATCACTTGAGCCCAGGAGTTTAAAATTACAATACACTGTAATCACATCACTGCATTCCAGCCTGGGCATCAGAGCAAGGCCCTATCTCTAAAACAAAACAAGATACATTTACATAAAAATCAATGTATGAAAATCCAAAATAAAATATTAGCAAACAAACCCCACTGGGGCTTACAAAAAACTTACCTAAACCAAGTGAGACTTGCACAGTGTGAAAATGATGGCTCAAAATTAGAACATCTTTTCATTTCATTTATATTAATATGTTAAAAATCATCATCATCATAGATGTTGAAAAGGCACTTGACAAAATTTACTACAAAATTTATAAAATAAGCTTATCAAATTAGGAGGGATACTTCCTTAAATTACGCACAATAAAGGAAATTACACCCAGACACACACCCATCAAGCCAAAGCCCAGCATCATTTGTAAGGGATGGAAGCAATAGAAGGTTCCATCAACTTTTGGAACAAAAGAATGCTCTCTGTTACCACTATTATTTTGGAGGCCCTAGCTAATGAAACTAGGCAAGGAGGAAAGTAAGACAGTAAGGCTAGAAGTTCCATACCAGCCTGGCCAACATGGCAAAACCCTGACTCTACTAATAACACAAAAATTAGCCGTGTGTGGTAAAACACATCTGTCATACCAGGTACTCGGGAGGCTGAGGCATGAGAATTGCTTGAACCTGGGAGGTGGAGGTTGCAGTGAGCCAGAACTTGCACTGCTGTACATCAGCCTGGGCAACAGAGCAGAACCGTGTCTCCAAAAACAAACAAAAAAAAAAAACAAATAGAGATGGGGTCTTACTATGCTGCCCAGGCTGGTCTCAAACTCCTTGGCTCAAGCAATCTTTCCGCCTCAGTCTCCCAAAGTACTAGGATTACAGGCCTGAGCCACCAAGCCTGGCCTTAGACAGTCTTCCTATGTACAAATAAGCAGTTAGAAAAGAGAAGAAAACACCCCATTTGCAACAGCACACCCCAAAAAAACAAAACTCTCAGAAATAAACGTGAAAATATGCACACACAATCCATATGAAGAAATCTTTCAATGAAACACTTTGAATGCAAAGAAAGCCACACTGCATGTGTTATTGAGAAAAGTTCAACATTAAAAAGACGTCACAGCCAGATGTGGTGGCTAACACCTGTAATCCCAGCACTTTGGAAGTCCAAGGTGGGCAGATCACAAGGTCAGGAGTTCGAGATCAGCTTGAGCAGCATAGTGAAACCCTGTCTCTACTAAAAATAGAAAAAAAGTAGCTGGGCATGGTAGCCTGCATCTGTAGTTCCAGCTACTCAAGAGCTAAGGCAGGAGAATTGCTTGATCTGGCAGGCAGAGACTGCAGTGAGCTGAGATTGCACCACTACACTCCAGCCTTGGTGACAGAGTGAGACTCCATCTTAGAAAACAAACAAAAAGATGTCACTATCAATATCAAGTGGGGGTGTGTGGAAGTGGAGCCTTCACACATGCTGGGGGAACATAAGACAGCATGGCCACTCCAAAAGACAGTTTGGCAGTTTCTTTAAAGGTAAATATAAATTTACCTTATGGAGCCAGATGCAGTGGCTTAGGCCTCTAATCCCAGCATTTTGGGAGGCCAAGGTAGGTAGATCACCTCAAGTCAGGAGTTTGAGACCAAGCCTGGCCAACATGGTGAAACCCTGTCTCTTCTAAAA